TCCTGGGGTAAGGAATAACCTCTTCTCTTGAGGTCGAGATAAAATATGGGGATGAGACGCTGCCCCTCTTCCGGGTCGGAATAAGCTCTAGAGAGACGAGCAGCCCCTTCTCCTGAGTCGGGATTAGTCCTGAGGTGAGGAGTAACCTCTTCTCCTGAGTCGGGATTAATCATGGGGATGAGGAGCAGCCCCTTCTCCTGGGTCGGGATTAGTCCTGGGATGAGGAGCAGCCCCTTCTCCTGGGTCGGGATTAGTCCTGGGGTGAGGAGTAACCTCTTCTCCTGGGTCGGGATTAATCATGGGATGAGGAGTACCCCCTTCTCCTGGGTCGGGATTAGGCCTGGGATGAGGAGCAGCCCCTTCTCCTGGGTCGGGATTAGTCCTGGGGTGAGGAGTAACCTCTTCTCCTGGGTCGGGATTAATCATGGGGATGAGGAGTACCCCCTTCTCCTGAATTGGGATTAGTCCTGGGATGAGGAGTAGGCCGGGTCTGGGTGACAGGCCCTGTCTTCCTTGGTGGGGAGACACCAGCTGTCTGACCCTTGGATGCCCCCTTCTTCCTATTTTGCCAGCTCCTCTCTCGTTCCCTGATGTCTAACAATTCCTCGGGAATCCCAACCATGGAATACTATGCAGCAGTAAAGAAGAAGGACCTCTGACACTTTGAGACAGCATGGAGGGACCTGGGAGTATCATGCTAAGTGAAATAAGTCAGTCAGAGAAAGTCAAGTATCACATGGTCTCACTCATATGTGGACTCTAATGAACAAAATACACTGATGAACAAAATAGGACCAGACATGGAAGAGTGGAATAGACCGTGGAATCTCAGAGGGAAGGCAGGAGGGTGGGTGGATGGGATGAGATCAACCAAAGAACTTGTATGCATGTACCCATGACCCATGGACATGGACAATAGGATGGTGAAGGCCAGGGGTGGGGGGCAGAGGCAAGCTAGAAGGGGCCAATGGGGGAAAAGGGGACATATGTGACACTTTCAACAATAAAGATAAAATAAAATAATAAAATAAAATGAAGAAAGAAAAAAAAAAGGTCATGTGACTGGGGCCAGAGAAAATTGTGAAAGGCCAGCACAGCCAAACACATGTTTACTTTTCAGTTCAGAAACATCCACCAAAGCGATGGGAAGCCAGTGTCATTTCCCAAACAGCCTGTGCATTCTGAGGGCGTGAGGGCAGCTGACACTGGTGAGCGCATTGCTGCCCCAGGCCTGGCCCTGCTGTGCTGTGCCTGCGGGCCTGGGAGGACTGCCAGTCTGTGCGTGTCTGAGCACAAGGCCACACTGTGTGGCCGTGTGGTAGTTCAGATGTGATCACCCAGGACAGTGAGGGAAG